GATAGAATATCATTTACCTCCTTTTCTTTTACTCTTTTTCTTTTCGATGTTGAAAAATAGTGACTAAGATACTTACCCAAAAAAAGAGAAAAAAAAGGGAAAATAGTAAATGAGATATACTAATGTCTCCAACCTGTACGGACAATTGATTTTTCAGACTGATGTATTTCGTACTTAAATACGAGTAATATTATAGTATTAGGGTGTATGAATTCCCTTTCAGCTTTTGTATTTTAGGATGGTCGTTTTTCTTGGTCGTTTTGTATTTTTTTTTTCCGCTTGTTATTGTTTTACAACTTGGAATTGTCATAAAGGGCCTCAATACAGCTGATATTTATTATTTCGTCCTAATAATTAATTGATTATCAGTAATTATGCATGTCATTTGACAATGAAGATTGAATCTTGAATTTGAAATCAATTATGATCAGATTAAATAAGCAATCAAATGATCAAATAAACAAAACAAGGATTAAAGTTCCGACAAAAATCTATGCTCCCAATAAGCTTTAGACTTCAAGTTTCCTTTCTTGTTTTCTTTTAATTTCTATTTGTGGTTTGTTTGTTTTACTATCTTTGTGAATCTTTTTTCAATTCTTTTTTCGATCCGTCAACATGTCCCGTAAAGCTAATGGATGTGTGCAATTTGGCAGGAACAAAAAACAAATCTGTCGATCAAATTCTCAAGAACCTTAAAAGAACCTTAAAAGAGTTGAAATTGCACTCCACCAAATTCTCAAGGTTTTGGGAGTTAAGTTGATGAGAATGAAGAATTTTAGTCGATTAGGGAGGTGGATGAGAAGAAATGTCAATTTTATCCCTACCAATTGCTCGTACTTGACATTCTGAATAGTTAACTTAATCGAAGATTTTGATGGAATGTGATGGAAATGAGCTGATTGAATCACTTTAAATAGTTTATTAGGTTGATTGATGCAAAAAAAAAAATTTTTGTTGAAGAATTTGAATTATTTTAGTATTTTGCCCTTGTATTTTTATTTTTTGAGACACTTGATTTTATTATCCTTTCTGAGTGGAAGGCATTTGACTATTTATACTTTCTAGTTTTCGGCCCCTAATCGAAGCGGCTCTGACTTCCAGGTAAAAATACATATTTATGGTTTGGGCCGACACCTGCCGTGGTGATCATGGACCCTAATCTAATAAAGGCAGTTACACAAAAGATTGATGATTTCTGGAAGCTCCCTGTTAATCCACTCGGCAGACTTGTGGCTCAAGGACTAGTGAGCTATGAGGGAGAAAAATGGGCCAAACAGAGAAAGCTCCTCAACCCAGCTTTCCACGTTGAGAAATTGAAGGTTCTCTTCTCTCTAATTTAATCATTTTATGGGTTTCAAATTCAGATGATGTGGTATTCATCCAATTCCGTCGGTGTATATACTGGTAGTGTAGACTGTAGAAAGATTAATCTTTTTTTTTTAACGGATGACCTGTAAATACTCATTAGTGCGAGTAAATTATAGTAAAATTATCATATAAATTCACACACACACATTTATTATATCCTAAAATTGAAAACACTCTCTGCATTGGACAGTCCTTAGTAAATTGCATCATTTATTTACTAAGTAGCCTTCAATATGAAGTAGTTTCTTTCACTGATTTTCTTTTCTTTTATGGATAAATAGCTTATGCTTCCAGCCTTTTATAAAAGTGCAAGTGAGATGGTGACGAAATGGGAGAATGTTGTTTCACCAAAGGGGTTGGCTGAAGTGGATGTTTGGCCCAATCTTAAAGCTCTTACCAGCGATGCAATTTCTCGTACAGCATTTGGCAGCAACTATGAAGAAGGAAGAAGGATCTTTGAGCTCCAGAGAGAGCAAACTGAGGATGTGATGGAGGCAGCACGGTCGGTGTACATCAACATCCCAGGATTTAGGTAGATTGATCATGAATTCTTGAGTGCTGTAGAAAATTGTGACTCCTAGAAATCAATGGTTCTCCTAGAAATCAACATCCCAGGATGTACATTATTGCAAACATAGTTTGTTCTTGCTTTTGTTTTTTTGCTAAACTATGATCTTTTATTAGGTTCTTGCCAACCAAGAGGAACAGAAGAATGAAACAGATTGCCATAGAAGTTAATGGTTCAGTTAGGGAAATGATCAACACAAGAAGAAAGGCAATGAGAGCAGGAGAAGCCGGCTCTGATGACTTGTTGGGATTAATGCTTCAATCCAATTCTCAAGAAATCGAGAAGCATGGAAACAAGGACTTTGGTATGACTACCGAAGAAATTGTTGATGAGTGCAAGCTGTTCTATTTTGCTGGCCAGGAGACTACTTCTGCATTTCTTGTCTGGACAATGGTCTTACTGTGCAGGTACCCCGAATGGCAGGCACGTGCTAGAGAGGAGGTCTTGCAACAATTTGGAACTAAGGATCCGGACTTTGATGGGCTAAATCACCTCAAAATTGTAAGCCAATCTTTTTCTTTGAAAAACATAAAAAATTAGCAATGATCATTTCATTGATTTGAAAAATTGCACTAATAGCAGGAGAGGCATACTAATTAACGAAGTTTTTTGAAGCTTCTCGTCTGCATAGACATCTAATTACTCTCACACTTTTTTTTTTTTTTTGTTTGGTCCCCTTGTCATAGGTCACCATGATCTTGCATGAGGTTTTAAGGTTGTGGCCACCATTGGCTACAATGAGTCGAAGAACTATTGAAGAAACTAAATTAGGAAATTTAACTCTCCCGGCTGGAGTGCAACTCACCTTACCAATATTGCTGATGCATCATGACCCTGATATGTGGGGCGAGGACGTGAAGGAATTCAAGCCTGAGAGGTTTGCTGAAGGAGTATCACATGCAACAAAGGGCCAGGCACTTGCATACTTTCCATTTGGCTGGGGACCTCGCACTTGCATTGGACAAAATTTTGCCATGTTGCAAGCAAAACTGGCAATGTCTATGATTCTGCAACGCTTCTCCTTTGAACTCTCGCCATCTTATACTCATGCTCCTCGAACAGCCTTATTAGCACTAGTTCAACCCCAGCATGGAGCTCACTTGATTTTGCAGAAGATATGATAGTTTGACTTGCTAGCCCCTGTGGCAGCAGATTATCTTTGAAGGAAATAAAGCACCTTCTATGCTTGTAAACTTAGTTTAAGTCTCGCCCAATATGATATGTCAATGGATCTGTTTGAATATATACAGCAGTACAGACAGATTCACGTAATGCATGTATTTTTCATGGCGAATTAAGAGAGAAATAATAATATTACATCTACTGGTTTTACTTATTTTGCAGGATATCTTTCCTTTTTCTTTGATAATCGAGAAAACAAATGGCTTAATTAAAAATCATTTAACAGCTGTTCTCAAACATTATTAATTTGTAGACTCTATAAATTTTATTAGCTAGTATTTAAAAAGTATTTCTTAGTGGTAAGTCGATCTCCAATGGAACTTAATTAGACATGATGAAATTAAATGAATTGTTTGGACAACGGTCTTATTCAGCAAGAACGTGCTACAGAAGAGATTTTGCGATGCATTGCTGGAACAAAAAAATATCACATTTTTTTTTCTTACATTCATTAAATTGTCATAGTAACTTTTTTACAAATAAATTCTAGAAAATGCAATCTGCAGGAAAAATAACGCCAATTTGACCGCTGGCCAAGCGGTTTTTGTAGACTGACAAAATGACAAAACTTGGTACAGAGCAAATGGTTTTGTCATATCAATGATTCAATTCGGGCTGATTCCTGTCGCTTACCACATCAATTTTTTAATTATAAAAAAAATTAAAAAAAAATACTAGTAAAAAAACAACTGGCAACTCGCTACTTTATCTTCAAGGCGCTGTAGAATGCCTAGCCCCGTTTGGATTATATTTTTCATCATTTTTCATGAAAAAATTATTGTAGCGATTTGATATATGTGAAGGAAAAAGATAATAAGAAAATGTGATCACAGAAAACGACGTAATTTTTCGACGGAAAACGGCAATCCAAACAAGACCCTAGTCTTCTGGAATTTATCTCTTCTTGTCACTTTTAACACCACTCGTCTGTCAATAACACAAATATCAAATCTGGGCAGAAATTCAGTGTCTTGCACAATAAGTAACCAAAATTAAGACCAAATACCAATAAATAAAACACATAATTATATCACTATCAAATAACAAAATTTGTGGCTGTTCATTCAAGTGTGAAGTACTACAATTAATCATTCAAGTACTATTAGAATAGAAGTAACTACTTTAGTAATGAGAGGTCATCACTTGGATGATTATAACCAACATGTGACATCTCTTAATGTATAAAGAGATCAATCCAAGGCTGATTTGCTGCAGAAAATCGTCCTATCACATTACTAGATATTCCGTAAAAGAAACAAAAAATATGATGAAAATTTTCATAGTGACTTGTTGCGTTTACTTCTAGAACCCAACTTCAAGGAGATCCAAGAACATGGGAATGAAAGGTTTGGGATGACTTCTGAAGAGGTCATTCAGGAGTAGCACATTAATAATAGCCATGGATGACTGCTCAAAGAGTAGCTATTCTAACAATAGCCATTTATACGTGGAGTTAGCCGGTCATAGTCTTCTTCTTCTTCTTTTTTTTTTACGGTAAATCAAAAGTCAAATTCTCAAGTTCTATTTATTGAACTGACTCTTTTCTAGAAGGCAAATAGAAAAAGACTTCTGATGATGATTTGCGAGGCTTGCAGGATAATCGAGCTTTGTTGATTTGTTCTCCTTTATCGTCCCCTCTGTTAGGGGGGCCTCAAGAGTGCTAATTTTTATTTTTTTTTTAAAAGTGTAGTTACTAGGAAAGCGTTTAAATACAGAGGATATAATAATTGTATTATGTGTGTTCATACAGTAAATTAAGTGTAATTTAAGTGAACGAGTAGAAAAATCATTTTACCATAAACAAGAATATTAAAGGCTCAAATGTCCTTTATAGGCGAGTGTTGAAGCCTCAGAGCATCTCCATTTAAGCAGATGCCGTAAACATAGAACATACCATCAAGCTACTTTGTCTTTGCTGATTTTACAGATGGATATGCATAGATTTCAGAATTATGTGTCCCAAAGTTGAGGTTCTCCCTCCTTAATAACTAACCGCTTCGCAAGTTCCCCCTGCCAGCAGAAAGTTTGACTGAAGGAGTGGAAGCGCATCAGAGAAAATGGACTTTTTCTATAGCTTGATTGGAGTTTCGTCAGTTATAGTTCTTCTCATCGGGGCATGGAGATTCTTGAATTGGGCTTGGATCACACCAAAGAAGATGGAGAAACGCCTCAGGCGGCAAGGTCTACAGGGAAACTCTTACAGGTTCTTGTTTGGAGACACCAGAGACATGGGAAGGATGCTTGAGGAGGCTAAGTCCAAACCAATTTCTTTAACAGATGATATCTTTCCCAGATTCGTGCCCTTCATCAATGAAACAATGCAACATAAAGGTTTGTTCTCCAAATTTGCCTGAAGACTATTTGGTTTGCTGTGTTTTTCAGCAATCATGCATTTCATATATGGTTGACCCAATCTTTTTATTTTAGAGTGGATAAGTTGCTTATCAAAAATTATTTTGTAGGTAAAAATAGCTTTTTTTGGCTTGGACCAAGGCCGGCAATGGTTATCTTGGATCCTGAACAAGTGAAGGAGGTCTTCACAAAAAATTTTACTTATCAGAAGCCTCGGGCAAATCCAATCAGTAAACTTCTAGCACTAGGACTTGCTAGCCTGGATACAGAAAAATGGGCCAAACACAGAAGATTATTGAATCCTGCATTTCATGTAGAGAAATTGAAGGTTGTTTCTTGCTTTTTCTCCTGAAATTTGGTGTTGTTTCAATATCTTACATGCTTTTGGCTGTTTCTTGTTATTTATCAGACATGGGACTGGCTAGTGTTTGGTATTTGCATCATACAAATGTAGTTATGGTTCCAATCTAGTTCAGATATAGAACCAAATCCAGCCTTTCCAATTCTAAAATTTGACTGATTAATATTTCCGTTCTCACTTTTGATGCTTCACAATAGTACACGGTGCCAGCATTTTATCTGAGTTGTAATGAGATGTTAAGCAAATAGGAGGACCTTGCCCCCGCAGAAGGATCTTTTGAATTAGACGTGTGGCCTTAGCTTCAAACATTTACTGGTGATGTAATTTCCGGAACAGCTTTTGGTAGCAACTATGAAAAAGGGCGAAGGATTTTTGAACTCCAAAGAGAACAGGCTTTGTATTTTGAGCAAGTTATGCAATCCATTTACCTTCCAGGGTGGAGGCACGTTACAGTTTTGTGCCAACAAAAAGAAGCAAAAGAATGCAGAAGATTTTCAAGGAAGTAAACTCAATAGTTATGGGCATTATCAACGAAAGGCTGAAGGAAATTCAAACAGGTGAAGCTACAAGTGATGACTTGTTGGGTATTTTGTTGGAATCCAATTTGAATGAGATCCGACAACGTGGAAATAAGAACGGCATGAGCCTTGAAGAAGTCATCGAAGAGTGCAAGCTATTCTATTTGGCTGGACAAGAGACAACCTCAGGATTGCTCGTCTGGACATTAATTTTATTGAGTCAACATTTTGATTGGCAGGCTCGTGCCAGAGATGAGGTTCTACAGGTTTTTGACAACAATGAAGCCGGTATTAGATGAGGTTCTCCATTTGGTTGGGGACCTCGAACTTGCATTGGGCAAAATTTTGCTACGCTGGAAGCAAAGATGGCGCTGGCTTTGATCTTACGGCGCTTTTCTTGGGAGCTTTCGCCGAGTTATGCACATGCTCCTCAAGTTGTGCTCACTCTTCAACCCCAGTATGGAGCTTAGTTGATCTTAAAGAAACTGTAAAACAAGAAATCTTGTTATCAGTCTTTGTTTAATTTGCTACGAAGTTGTGAAGATTGATATTTTCTCTTAGATCTAAAATGAAGTTGTTTAAGAGCTCTTTGTTTAATTTGCCTTCAACATTGCAGGCTTGCAATTCGTTCCACGGTTTAACAATGTAGGAAATGGAAAATGTCGCGGAATAGAACACGAAGAATACGAACAAGTGGGGAGCAATTTTAGGCTGAAGAGAAGCAGGCCAGCAGGAAGAATTAGTCAAATAAAAGGAGAATGACTTTTATTTTTAAGACCAAAACTTTTAGAATATTGTGGTTTGACCCTTTGCATAATGCAACTCTGAGGAAATGTGTAAAAAATATGATTAGCTATATATATATATATATATATATTGTTATTATCGTTTAAAATGTTATAATGATTGTTGAAATTTCAATTTAAGAGAACAAAATAGTGGGGGAATAAAAGACAAGTTAGTTAACGTAGCGTTTTAAATGTTCATTTGATTTTTCTTGGCTAGCAATACTATGTAATTACTCGACATAAATGTGCTCTAATATGGGTCCAAAATATTTTGTCATTCTTCTTTTTTCTGCTAGAAACAATCAAGAATGAATTTCAAAGCCGATTCTGACTTTTTTTTCATAACAATCGATATCGTAAATATAAAATATGCCTATGATTCAACTGGCAATTGCTACATCGTAACCTAGATGGAACTATGATGTCAATTTGATTGCAACCTTGAATGCGATTTTGAATACATGAAATAATTAAAGCTAAATTTTTTCCCAAATGAGGGTTATAGGTCATAGTCCGGCTTTGATTAACTATCCACTGCAAGGCCACTTAGAATCATCAAATGAAATGAATATGCGCCAAGAAGACATTGGCTTAGTGGCTAAATTTGAGGGTTGAGACCCTAAATATAGAGTTTTTAGGTTTTAATCTCCCTTTTTCCCTCGCTACTTCTTAAACCCACATACCTCCCCTATTATGAAAAAAAAAAGGAATGAATATGTTAACCTCATTTTGCAGTTAGTGATATGCTCATTTTCTCTACTTTAAGACGATAATACGAAGTTTAATCGAAACTATAGAATTTTAATACAGCAATTCCCACTCTTCGGCCTTTATGGCATGCCAATTTTAAATAGTCACACGAAATCGACAACAAAATTAAGCATAGCAATTGCAAAGTTTATCCAAATTGGTAAAAACCATTCTACTCAAAGGGCCATAGTTTTGCTCTATACTTAAAAAGGACTACCATGTAACAACTTAATTAATTTGCTGCTCTAAAAAAAAAAAAATTTTGTTTTTGGAAATCTCTATGATTCTTGAATAACAATTCATTTTGATTTGTTCCCTATTTTGTTGCCATTTGCCAGTACTCCAGCACTCCCTTTTGTCTTTCAACACGTACTTTCCATTTAAAGACATCTAACTCTCCCTAGAAGCTTTAATCTTCAGATTTATTTTTTTAAAAAAAATAATAAACCATTGAGACGACTAATGAGGTATTCAAATTTAAAACAACTATGCACATTCCTTTGTAATTTATCAGGTCTTGCTTTTCGGCTAATCTGAATTTTACACAAAGTCACTGGGCATCAATTGGATATTGTGGAATAATAGGGGGATTGTGTGATAAAATTTTAGAACAACGGACTCATATTGTAATTTACCATAATTTATCCCATTCTGTACGTTGACTTCATGACTTCTGGTTTTAATTTATTAATTTATTTTTCACCTCACAAATATCATATTTCAGCGGAGCTCCCAAGACAAGAGGAAAAGACAGTTTGGATTAAAGTGCTCAAAACATAAAGGGCATAGATATATTTAAGGATCAATTTAACATACTTGGAAAGAAAACAAAGCTTGGTCATATTTTTCCTCGAGAAAGATTGTCTGCCATCGTCATGGCATAGGTCATCTAGTTTGTGTGTTTGTTTGGACGGTGCTTTGTTCACTGAAATTTATTTATTTTCATTATTAACATATTTTTTAATTATTTTTTTACTTTATATACATCATATCAAAAAATAGTGTATGATACAATATTTTTTTTGAAAAATTATCTCAAATCATCTCCAATTCAAACACATAGTTTGACTCATTCCATGTTCCGGATTTTTCCCATGTAATAATTGAATATTTAGGCATTAAAATCAGAGGATTGTTGAAATTTATGCTAACTCTGTACTTAAGATTGATTTCGTCTAAAATATTCGATTTTGCAAATTCCATATCTTTCTTTAGCGAATTCATGATTTTCACTTTTTTGTGTTGATTTTGAGATATAATACTTACATGTTCTAAGTGCAATTTCTTCCCCCTAACATGTTCAAGCATATGAGAAATTTTCAGCCACACAATTCAATTCCTAAATCTAACAGTGAGAGACTCTATAAATCTTCCCCTAACCACCAGACTACCCCCAATGATTAATCGCAGTGTCACCGCTAATTAATGCATCATGACTTTTGAACAATTATAACTGTTGAATGTACGTCAAGTTCTACTCTTTCAACCTCTTAGATAATTTTTTTGCAAATTCATTTTTCACTTTCAATAGTTGCTTTCATTGTGACTCGCCTTCAATAACTGCTGACACAGCTTGGTTCTTGCTAGTACAATCTTAAACAATTTGTTGAAATTGAGTTCTAGTCTTTTATGTCCTTCTAAATCCTCTGACCCTGCTAGTTTCCTAAGCTGTCTCTGTCTACTTTAGCTGTCACACTACTATATTTATGTTACACGTACCAAAAAGCTCGAAATTGTTCTACAGTACAAGATTTGGATATTCAACACGAAATTTTATTCTTTCCCTAATTTTGTTGCCCCATCTTATTTTTTTTATGAAATGATTACGAGTAAGTTATGAAGGTTGAATCAATACACGATACTACACCGCAATAGCATTGCTTAATTGAAGTTTGGTCTTATTTAATCGAATCATAACTTATGATTTCCACCTAAAACTCACAGAAATGCCACATGAATTTTATTCAGTTCCACCTCATTTTTACACTCAATACAGCCATGTTCATAAAATTTTCCATGTTTAGTGTACTTGAGAATTATCCACATTTGAGAGTGTTTTCTATATTTGCTTTGAATGTCACCTCCTCTATGTTCACACATGCATCATTTTTAAAAATAAAAAAAAATTAATAAGGAAGGGATGGTATTTAAAAAATAAGAAAGGAGAGGAGAGATTTGAACGCATATAACGTTTTAAGGTTAGCAAAATTAGTGTTTCTGTACAAAAATAATTGTTTAGAAATTTACTTACCAAAGAAAAATAACTGTTTAACATTTTAAAGCACATAAAAAATTATCCTTTAATTAAAACTTCCACTCTATGTTTGTTTTTCCGATAGGGTTTATACAATGTTCGACTGTCCTTCTAATTCTGTGACAAAATTGTTCTAATTAAATTGCCTTAAAGGTCCAGTTAAATTAAATTGGCTTGGAGGACCTCAATTGCACCCAAAAAAAAAAACTTTGCTCTAAAATCCGAGAAATATATAGAAATAGGCTCCAAATTCTCGTGTACCAAGCCAATCATGCTGTGCTGAGCTAAAAGTTCCTACTGTTCTCCAAGTAATAAACGGATGGCGGTGCAGACGCACAAAACCAAAGGTTATCATCGCCCCAACTTGAATATAAATTTGCACGCAACAAAGGTAGAAATCTCACAAGAAAACCAACAAAACAAAAACACAACATGGAAACCCCCTATGGTGTATCAATGTTTACTGTGTATTCTTCTTGTCTTCTTCTTCTTCTGGTAGTAGCAGTATCATGGAAAGCTTTGAACTGGGTATGGTTTAGGCCGAAGAAGCTGGAGAAACGTCTGAAAGAGCAAGGTTTCCGGGGAAACCCTTACAAGCTGCTCCATGGAGACTTCAAAGAGATGTCCACCCTGTACACAGAAGCCCAATCCAAGAATCTTAATCTCTCCGACGACATCGTACCAAGAGTTATTCCTCAATATCTTGGAGCCGTTAAGAAATATGGTAGTATTTATTGTTCTCATCAACTCTGCTTCCATCTCTTTGCCTCGTAACCTCTTTTGTCCCTCGTATGATCTCCATTTTTTTTCCCTTTTTTCTGCTTTTGGTTAGATAGAATATCATTTACCTCCTTTTCTTTTACTCTTTTTCTTTTCGATGTTGAAAAATAGTGACTAAGATACTTACCCAAAAAAAGAGAAAAAAAAAAGGGAAAATAGTAAATGAGATATACTAATGTCTCCAACCTGTACGGACAATTGATTTTTCAGACTGATGTATTTCGTACTTAAATACGAGTAATATTATAGTATTAGGGTGTATGAATTCCCTTTCAGCTTTTGTATTTTAGGATGGTCGTTTTTCTTGGTCGTTTTGTATTTTTTTTTTCCGCTTGTTATTGTTTTACAACTTGGAATTGTCATAAAGGGCCTCAATACAGCTGATATTTATTATTTCGTCCTAATAATTAATTGATTATCAGTAATTATGCATGTCATTTGACAATGAAGATTGAATCTTGAATTTGAAATCAATTATGATCAGATTAAATAAGCAATCAAATGATCAAATAAACAAAACAAGGATTAAAGTTCCGACAAAAATCTATGCTCCCAATAAGCTTTAGACTTCAAGTTTCCTTTCTTGTTTTCTTTTAATTTCTATTTGTGGTTTGTTTGTTTTACTATCTTTGTGAATCTTTTTTCAATTCTTTTTTCGATCCGTCAACATGTCCCGTAAAGCTAATGGATGTGTGCAATTTGGCAGGAACAAAAAACAAATCTGTCGATCAAATTCTCAAGAACCTTAAAAGAACCTTAAAAGAGTTGAAATTGCACTCCACCAAATTCTCAAGGTTTTGGGAGTTAAGTTGATGAGAATGAAGAATTTTAGTCGATTAGGGAGGTGGATGAGAAGAAATGTCAATTTTATCCCTACCAATTGCTCGTACTTGACATTCTGAATAGTTAACTTAATCGAAGATTTTGATGGAATGTGATGGAAATGAGCTGATTGAATCACTTTAAATAGTTTATTAGGTTGATTGATGCAAAAAAAAAAATTTTTGTTGAAGAATTTGAATTATTTTAGTATTTTGCCCTTGTATTTTTATTTTTTGAGACACTTGATTTTATTATCCTTTCTGAGTGGAAGGCATTTGACTATTTATACTTTCTAGTTTTCGGCCCCTAATCGAAGCGGCTCTGACTTCCAGGTAAAAATACATATTTATGGTTTGGGCCGACACCTGCCGTGGTGATCATGGACCCTAATCTAATAAAGGCAGTTACACAAAAGATTGATGATTTCTGGAAGCTCCCTGTTAATCCACTCGGCAGACTTGTGGCTCAAGGACTAGTGAGCTATGAGGGAGAAAAATGGGCCAAACAGAGAAAGCTCCTCAACCCAGCTTTCCACGTTGAGAAATTGAAGGTTCTCTTCTCTCTAATTTAATCATTTTATGGGTTTCAAATTCTCATTTATTGACACACACACATTTATTATATCCTAAAATTGAAAACACTCTCTGCATTGGACAGTCCTTAGTAAATTGCATCATTTATTTACTAAGTAGCCTTCAATATGAAGTAGTTTCTTTCACTGATTTTCTTTTCTTTTATGGATAAATAGCTTATGCTTCCAGCCTTTTATAAAAGTGCAAGTGAGATGGTGACGAAATGGGAGAATGTTGTTTCACCAAAGGGGTTGGCTGAAGTGGATGTTTGGCCCAATCTTAAAGCTCTTACCAGCGATGCAATTTCTCGTACAGCATTTGGCAGCAACTATGAAGAAGGAAGAAGGATCTTTGAGCTCCAGAGAGAGCAAACTGAGGATGTGATGGAGGCAGCACGGTCGGTGTACATCAACATCCCAGGATTTAGGTAGATTGATCATGAATTCTTGAGTGCTGTAGAAAATTGTGACTCCTAGAAATCAATGGTTCTCCTAGAAATCAACATCCCAGGATGTACATTATTGCAAACATAGTTTGTTCTTGCTTTTGTTTTTTTGCTAAACTATGATCTTTTATTAGGTTCTTGCCAACCAAGAGGAACAGAAGAATGAAACAGATTGCCATAGAAGTTAATGGTTCAGTTAGGGAAATGATCAACACAAGAAGAAAGGCAATGAGAGCAGGAGAAGCCGGCTCTGATGACTTGTTGGGATTAATGCTTCAATCCAATTCTCAAGAAATCGAGAAGCATGGAAACAAGGACTTTGGTATGACTACCGAAGAAATTGTTGATGAGTGCAAGCTGTTCTATTTTGCTGGCCAGGAGACTACTTCTGCATTTCTTGTCTGGACAATGGTCTTACTGTGCAGGTACCCCGAATGGCAGGCACGTGCTAGAGAGGAGGTCTTGCAACAATTTGGAACTAAGGATCCGGACTTTGATGGGCTAAATCACCTCAAAATTGTAAGCCAATCTTTTTCTTTGAAAAACATAAAAAATTAGCAATGATCATTTCATTGATTTGAAAAATTGCACTAATAGCAGGAGAGGCATACTAATTAACGAAGTTTTTTGAAGCTTCTCGTCTGCATAGACATCTAATTACTCTCACACTTTTTTTTTTTTTTGTTTGGTCCCCTTGTCATAGGTCACCATGATCTTGCATGAGGTTTTAAGGTTGTGGCCACCATTGGCTACAATGAGTCGAAGAACTATTGAAGAAACTAAATTAGGAAATTTAACTCTCCCGGCTGGAGTGCAACTCACCTTACCAATATTGCTGATGCATCATGACCCTGATATATGGGGCGAGGATGTGAAGGAATTCAAGCCTGAGAGGTTCGCTGAAGGAGCATCACATGCAACAAAGGGCCACGTTGCATACTTTCCATTTGGCTGGGGACCTCGCATTTGCATTGGACAAAATTTTGCCATGTTGGAAGCGAAATTGGCAATGTCTATGATTCTGCAACGCTTCTCCTTGGAACTCTCACCATCTTATACTCATGCTCCTGGAACAGCTACAGCACTAGTTCAACCCCAGTATGGAGCTCACTTGATTTTGCAGAAGATATAGTTTTTGTTTCATATGTATGACTTGCTCGCCCGTGTGGCAGCAGATTATCTTTTAACGAAATAAAGCACCATCTTCTATGCTTAACTTTGCTTGTAAACTAGTTTAAGTCCCGCCCAGTTTGGTATGTCAATGGATCTGTATGAATATAGCAGTACAGATTCACGTAATGTATTTCTCACGGCGAATTAAGAGAGAAATACTACATCTACTCGTTTAATTTGGCAAGAGATCTTTCCTTTTTCTTTGATAATGGAGAAAACAAATGGCTTGTCATGGCTTAAAATCATTTAACAGCTGTTCTCAAACATTAATCAGTAGAGTCTGTAAATCTTATTAGCTAGTATTCAAAAATATTTCTTCGTGGTAAGTGGATCTCCAATGCAGCTTAGGCAAGACGAAATTCTGTGCGATTACAAGAGAAATTATTGAAGAGTGTAAGCTGTTGTATTCAGCATCTGCCCAGACTAGCGAGAACGTGCTGGAGAATAGATTTTGCAACACATTGCTGGGACCAAAAATATCACAATTTGATGGTCTGTATAACCTAAAAGATTGTATGTCAATTATATACCAAAATCCATAGCATATTGTACGTAAAAGAACTTTTAACCTAAAAAATTATAAGTCAACTCATGATAGGTTGCAGCTTCTCATATGCCAATAAATTGTCTTAAGTAGTCTCCTTCCATTTCTCACATATCACAATGATCTTGCATGAGGTTTTAAGGCTATACTCACCATTTTTTCTTCCTGGTCAAACATTTGTTGAAGAAATTAAACTACAGAGAATCTAATTATCTCAGTTGAGTTGGCTTTATTTGCAAAACTTTTAATCACCATGAATTTGTTGGAGATTTTCAAAAGATGAAAGGTTTCAAGGTTCACAAAATAACAAAATTTGTGGCTGTTCATTCAAGTGTGAAGTACTACAATTAATCATTCAAGTACTATTAGAATAGAAGTAACAACTTTAGTAATGAAAGGTCATCACTTGGATGATTATAACCAACATGTGACATCTCTTAATCTATAAAGAGATCAATCCAAGGCTGATTTGCTGCAGAAAATCGTCCTATCACATTACTCGATATTCCATAAAAGAAACAAAAAATATGAAAAAAATTTTCATAGTGACTTGTTGGGTTTACTTCTAGAACCCAACTTCAAGGAGTTCCAATAACATGGGAATGAAAGGTGTGGGATGACTTCTGAAGGGGTCATTCAGGAGTGCAAGCTATTCTTTTTTGCTGGACATGAGACAACTGCAATCTTGCTTGTGTGGACGCTAATTTTGTTGAGCAAGCATTCAGACTGGCAAGCTCGTGCTAGGGATGAGGTTCTTCAGGTCTTTGGCAACAATATACCGGATTTTGAAGATTTAAATTGGCTGAAAATTGTAAGTAGCTTCAATTTATCAAGAGGACAAGCTCTGATGACAGAATAGTTTGATATTATTCAAGAATTTCAGTTTTGTATCACCAATCTGCAGTGACTAAACTCGAATATCATGAATGTTGGCCACATTTCAGACTTGTTTTTTAGGTTCTCTTTTGATGAATAATTGGTTTCGTGGGTTCGGATGCAGAAGACTTCATAAGGAATATCATAGCTTAACATTCCATTCACTCAGGACATGTTTTACTTTTGCCATTACCTGAAGCACAACGATATCCGAGTGTAGTGTAATGTTTCTGCTTTCTAGTAGGCAACAGCTATTAGTTGACATTGTCTGGATACTTATCTTACAATTTTCTTCTCTTGGAACGAAGTTCACACTCCATTTAAGCATCGATTTGTAATTCTTCTTTTACAGGTGACTATGATCCTTAATGAGGTTCCAAGACTATATACACCAGGAGTTATGATTTCCCGGAGGTTAACGAAGACACTAAATTAGGGGAACTGTCTCCACCTGCTGGAATGATTGTCTTGATGCCTTCAATCTTGCTACATCATGATCCAAGTTTATGGGGTGATGATGCAAAGGAATTCAACCCAGAGAGATTTAGCGAGGGAGTTGCAAAGGCTACTAAGGGCCAGCCGTGTTTTCTGCCATTTGGTGGGGGACCTCGGATATGCATTGGGCAAAACTTTGCTCTGCTTGAAGCAAAAATGGCATTAGCTTTAATTTTACAGCGCTTTTCCTTTGTGCTTTCTCCATTGTATACGCATGCCCCATACTTGTTTCTTACCCTGCTTCAACCTCAGTATGGTGCTCAGTTGATTATGAAGAAACTGTAATATAAACCTGTAATCTGAATCATCTCCTTCATGAACGCCAGCGATTCCAGGACTTGAACTATGTGTGTGTGTTATTGATTATGTGACAGAACATCTGTAATTGCTACATGTTGCTTAACTTGCTAGCCTTTTAGGTTGCTGCTTCTGTAAGGTTTAATAAACTTTTGGTGCAATTACAAGAAGATTTTCGAATTAGGCTAATTGCTTAGATTATTGTTGAAAAAAAAAATTCGGAACAATGTTGTTCTATCAATGCAGTGGTACAAAACTCGTCAGCCCGGTAGGCAAGAGAATTTTTTTTTTTTTTTTTAGCCAACCCGGTAGCTACTGGGAATTTTGGACAAACAGCTTAACTTCTTTATTTTATTTTTTAAAAACTTGCAGGCTGCCGAGCTTCGTAAGCCCGCAGCCAGCTTAAATTTCTTTTTTTAATTAAAAACTTTTGCTGGCGTAATTGGGGTTCATCTGCACCATTAGCCCAAAAAAGCTATCGGTCAATGGAGTTCACTTGCTCCTTTCCTTTTCTTTTTTTTTTTTTCCAGATGGAATAATGCAAGTTTTGCTTTGGCTGATCTTGTCGTATGAGGATCAACTTATTTGATGTATCTTTGTTGTGTAAATTATCAAATTATTTATTTGTCACATTTTCTAATAGTAAAAGTAACAGAGTCTATCATTTTGTGCCATGAAAATCTACTAGCTAGACTTTTAATTCTTGAACGATTTAACTCAAGGATTTCAATATGTGTTTGGATAAAATAAATTGTTGATAAAATTTTGTGTCTAATCTATAATTTGCGTGTGCATTTATTGTGCATGAATTCTTAACATGAGATCTTTGAGTTTTCACATTTCAATATGCTATTTAGCATTATTTTAAACTTCTATTATTTGAACAAGTATCATTATTTTTAAATTTCACCATTTCACCATTTCACATTATCAAATTTTTCTTCTTTTCTATTTTTTGCCTTTTCATTTTTATATTGCACAATAATTTTATATTTATAAAATTATAGTTTACATTAAAAATTACTTTTATGCTTAACTACCCACTATCATATTTATTTTTACCTTTATTATTATAACAACCCACTGCCAAATAATAATTTATTTGTATATTTTATTTAGGCAAATATTAATTTTCTATATATTTTATAAAAAATATATAACCAAATCTTATACATAATAATTTCAACAATTAATTTTCAAAGATTTGGGAAATGCATCTTCTTTTAAATTGAATGAGGTTTTTTTTTATCTAAAAACTTTTTTTAGGGTTTAACATAAAATAAAAATAATTGATTTAGCAAATTTATCTGGACCTTTTTCTTACGTTTGAACTATAAAAAAAAAAATTAACCACAAAGGCTATCAGGCTTCAAGCCCGGTAACATGAGTTTTTAATTTTTTTTAAAAAAAATTAAGCTGCAGGCTGAAGCCCGATAGCATAAGTTTTTAATTAAAAAAAAATAAACTGACACGTGTAGCTTTTTTAAAAAATTTCCAATAGCTGCCGGGCAAGTCAGCCCGACAGCCAAACTTTAAAAAAAAAAAAAAAGAATTCTCTTGCCTACCGGGCTGAGTCAACCCGGCAGGCATAGTTTTATACCACTATATTGTCAGAACATTTTTTTTTTTTTTTACAATAATCAGAGCAATTAGCCTTTGAGTTATTGCTATTTTGCAAAGTATTAATGTTAATAGGTTAGAAAGGACAAATGTTAATGTTCTGGGATTCTTATCATATTTATTAATGAACTGCATTATAGGACGCAATTGATCAAAAACAAATTTCACATTGATCTTTTTGTTTCCAAACCATTGAGAGCCAAGACTGTAACAAAAAAATTAGCCATTTTTCGCATCAAATTTCTTGATCCTTAAATATAGTTCTACATGCGACCTTCTCATGCTCAGGTATTTAAAATTACATCCAAAGCTTATTGCAACATTTGCAGTTTTAGGACTTCTGTTCCTTGTGCTATCAATTTGCAGCACTTTGTTTAGCTAATTTTCAAACCCTTGAATTTCCCTTGCTATTTTTAAGTGAAAAAGACTTTGATACTCCTAATCTGCATCAACTACATTAGGGTACTAAAATCTTTTCATTTGACTGTAGCCACAAAATGTTTTTTCTTTAAATAGATTTCAGCAGAAACATAATGTACTTTAGTGCTACAATTACTTTTTTGTTCAACAGTGCTACAATTAATTGTTTATGGTTCAGATTACTAATTAATGATAGCTGAGGGGTGCAAATTGTTATTACACATTAGCACATTAATAATAGCCATGGATGACTGCTCAAAGAGTAGCTATTCTAACAATAGCCATTTATATGTGGAATTAGCCGGTTATAGTCTTCTTCTTCATCCCTTTTTTTTTACGGTAAATCAAAAGTCAAATTCTCAAGTTCTATTTATTGAACCGACTCTTTTCTAGAAGGCAGATAGAAAAAGACTTCTGATGAAGCTTGCAGGATAATCGAGCTTTGTTGATTTGTTCTCCTTTATCGTCCCCTCTGTTAGGGGGGCCTCAAGAGTGCTAATTTTTTTTTAAAAAAAGTATAGCAACTAGGAAAGCGTTTAAATACAGAGGATATAATAATTGTATTATGTGTGTTCATATAGTAAATTAAGTGTAATTTAAGTGAACGAGTTGAAAAATCATTTCACCATAAACAAGAATATTAAAGGCTCAAATGTCCTTTATAGGTGAGTGTTGAAGTCTAAGAATTTTAGTTACAAATATTTATATATTTAATATAAATTAAATGATTCAGAATAAAATGCTCATAAAGAGCTAATACTTTACTCATCTAATGGATGAAAGTCATAAAGAATTAATATTTTATGGGTCATTTCTTTTTTGAAAAATATTTAATTTATATTAAATAGATAATCCACCGATTTCTTTTTTGTAAGAATATTACTGTAACACTTTTTGAATTTTACTTACAAATATTGATATATTTATCATAAATTAAATGTTTGAAAGTAAAATATTCATAAAGAGCCGGTACTTTAAATGGGTAATGCATATTTGCCCATAAACTACACCCCTTAAAGTTTATTAATTGTTAATTGATTTATAATACTTTGTCATTCATTGGACATGTAGTACAAAGGGCAAATCTGGTACAAAATTCTAATTTCACTCTCTAAAATAATACTTTAATCGTTTGGACTGAATTTATAAAGAATTAATAAATTTAGGGGAGGTTATTGCAATTTTTCAAACTATAAAGGAGGTTAGTGCAAATATCAGAAACTTCAAGGGAGTTTTCTGCAATTATCCCATAGTTTCACTTTCATTATGACTTGCCTTCAATAACTGCTGACACAGGTTGGTGGTTGGGGGCACAATCATTGGTAGTTGCTGGTCTTTTCTGTTCTTTCAGAACATCTGACTACTTTAGCTATCTCTGTCTACTTTAGCTGTCACACTACTATATTTATGTGACACGTACCAAAAAGCTCGAAATTGTTCCCCTGTACGAGATTTGATCAACACGAAAATTTGTTTGGATAGATGTATAATGTATTATTTGAAATAAGGTTGCTTCTACGGTGGAAAGTGGGCTGAACTTCCCACCGTAGGCAGAATGCCCACTAGAAGTACAAGTCAGCATGAGCATCTTTGTCCGTGTTTTTGGGACCCAAAGGTTACTGGCAGAGGCTGTTATCATGTTAAGGGACTAACGGCAAATACCAATATAAACTGTTGGGTCGTCAAATGAATAAAGAATGTTCCAGACAGGACAGTAAAAGTCATTATTAATTTATAATATGAATAGAATCAAACGATTATATAGGATTTTCAAAAAATTATTATTTTATTATTTTATCAAAATTATTAATTTAACTCGTTAAGCAAGTCGAAATCAAAATTTAAATTGAATTCTAATCTGAGTTTTGAGTCAGTGGATTCGAAGGACTCATTTAAATCTAAACGCATATTAAAACTCAATTATTCATGGGGTTAAGTAAATCCACTAAGTATTTTTAAAATTTGTTAGACACATTTACTATTACAGTATTTTCTTTTACTTTTCCCCTTCTCTTTCTCTCTTCTTATTTTGAAAATTAAGGAATCTTTTCAATTGTTGTGTAAATGATTTCTCATGTTAATACACAAATCCATTTTAACTCTTGTAATATTTCATCAACTGAAACTCGTCACAATTACCATTTATATTATGGTACAAATTTTCATTGGATCTTTTCCTTTTGATTTGGATAAAAAATTTATTTACGAAATTAATGTTTTTAATTTAATAAAATATTATTACTTATGTTTAAACAATATACGTGAACCTTTTTTTTTTCCTTTTTAGATCAGATGGTAGTGTATATATGATAATTTATCATTCAAAATGCATAATAGGCATATAAGGACCATAAGGTTGAGGCCCAAGAATTACAGATTTTAGATTCAAATTCCTTTACCCACCCACTGTTTCTTAAATCCTACCTCTTCCCTATTAAATTTTTTTAAATGTAGGGACTTAACTCTTACATGCATAAGCAAAATCTAATTTTCATCCAATTTCTAATTAAATATTTATTCATAATACTAACAACTTATTGCTTTCGTCAGTTGTTCATATACCATGTCTTCCTAGTCGAGGGAATCTGGAAATTCTGATGCAATTAATAACTTTTTTGCTTCATGAAATACTCCTCTCATTTCATCCTCCATTTCTCTAAGATTATGTGATTTATATACAAAATGTCATGCGAGAGTAGGATAAACTTACATGTATATATAAGCATGTGTGTGTGTCTATATATATATATATATATATATATATATATGCTGATGATAAGTCAAACAATCCTAAGGCTCTAGCATTTAGAATACAAAGTTTTAATTTAAAGGCGCCATCATTTAAATTCTAAATATTTAGTTTAGAGTCCGAATTTTCAATCCAAAGGCGTCAACATTTAAAATAAAAAATTTCGATCTAACCCGCAACTACCAAACTTCAAATTTTCATTGAGAAGGCAGCAACTACTAGTCCCCCAAAACTTCTATTGAATATTGCATAGATTGAGAAATAATTAAACTCCATTATTGGAAATACATAATTGCTAATTTTAAAAATTTATTTATAATGGATACATATCACCCCCTAGCTTGAAATAATAATAAAAAAATTTAAATACTCTTTTGTGTATAGCTGGCAATTGGGCAGGTTGGGTGGGTTAATAATGGATTTTCACTTAAATTGGTTATACCCAACCTGTCCCAACTTTAGATTGGATTGATTTTGGATTAGGTCATATTGGGTAATCTCAAATCCATGACCCAAATATGATCCAACATATTAATTAATACATTTTAATACATAAACTTTTTCAAATACATTTTAACACACATAAAAGATTTTTTAAAACATATAAACACATTTTCACGTACATAAATGTATACAAACACACACTCACTTTCTTAAGTTCCTTGGAAACATATCATAAACAGAATAATATTTTATATTGCTTGTATTGTGAATTTTAGATAATAAATTGTACATTTAACGAAGAGCATAGCGCCCCCCCCCCACTCAAAACACCACCTTAATCTTTTCAATAATCTCTTCCATTGATCCACTATCAATTTTTGTGTCCCTTAAAAAACTTTGATTTGTGATTTATAGTTTGTCATGTCCAGTATAACTAGTTGCAGAGTTAGAATTTAAATTCATAACCATCTAGTTATTTCAATAGTTCAAACGTTCAATCTTTGAAACTTTTGTATTATGTGATTTATGTTTATGATTGTTTTATCTACAATCTCAATTCTAGTTTCTTGGTGTATTATGTTAATTATATTTATGATTACTCATCTACAAATTTGATATCGATTTGAAAGTCACCATGTTACGTATAAGATTACTTATCTGATTTCTAAATTAAAATTAAAATCTACCAAGTCAATTATGTCACGATTCTGGTTTTTTGTAACACTATGTTAATTATGTTTCTAATTATTCATCTACAATTTTGATTCCAATTAAAAAATCACTATCTATGAGCACTTACTTAGAGGGATCGCTGTTAGTATAAACTTTTTAAAATCATTTTCTAAACTTTCAATTTTATCCTTAGGGAAAAACTTTTAATTTTTCCTCTAATTGCTTAATCACATTTTGCCAATATAACTACCCTAAGTATTGTAATTACCAAATTACTATAACCTTATGAACCAAAATTCTTCAATAAATTATTGTGAAAAATAAAATTTTTATACAAATTAATTCCTTTTATTTATTTATGTATATAATTACTCATCTATGCGAACTAACAATTAAATTTAATCCTTAAGATTGAAGTACACATAAATACATTTATGGGCTTTTAACTTACCAAAATTGCCCTTCAAATTTTGTCCTTCGCCAATTTGGCCTGGGAGCTGCTCCCTTATGTATATAATTACTCATCTACGCGAACTAACAATTAAATTTAATCCTTGATATTGGAGTACACATAAATACATTTATAGGCTTTTAACTTACTAAAATTGCCCTTCAAATTTTGTCCTTCACCAGTTTGGCCTGGGAGCTGCTCCCCAGCTGATGCCGATTTTTGGGTGCAAACAAGTGTCCATAAGTTGTTGAGGGGCTTGCTTTTTATTTCTCGTTGAAATAGAAGGAAACCACATAATCAACCGTTTATACCCCGGTGTCCAGTAGTTCATTTATTTTCTTTTACTTTTCCCCTTCTCTTTCTTTCTTCTTATTTTGAAAATTAAGGAACGTTTTCGATTGTTGTGTAAATGATTTCTCATGTTAATACACAAATCCATTTGAACTCTTGTAATATTTCATCAATTGAAACTCGTCACAATTACCATTTATATTATGGTACAAAATTTCATTGGGTCTTTCCTTTTTGATTTGGATAAAAAATTTATTTATTAAATTAATATGTCTTTAATTTTTTATTTTAATAAAATATTATTAGTTATGTTTAAACAATATACGGGAACCTTTTTTTTTTCCTTTTTAGATCAGATGGTAGTGCATGTATGATAATTTATCATTCAAAATGCATAATAGGCAGATAAGGACCATAAGTTTGAGACCTAAGAAATACAGATCTTAGATTCAAATTCCTCTGCCCACCCACTATTTCTTAAATCCTACCTCTTTCCTATTAATTTTTTTTAAATGTAGGGACTTAACTCTTACATGCATAAGCAAAATCTAATTTTCATCCAATTTCTAATTAAATATTTATTCATAATACTAACAACTTATTGCTTTCGTCAGTTATTCATACACCATGTCTTCCTAGTCGGGGGAATCTGGAAATTCTGATGCAATTAATAACTTTTTTGCTTCATGAAATACTTCTCTCATTTCATTTTTCCATTTCTCTAAGATTATGTGATTTATATACAAAATGTCATGCGAGAGTAGGATAAACTTACATGTATATATAAGCAAGTGTGTGTGTATATATGCATATGCTGATGATAAGTCAAACAATCCTAAGGCTCTAGAATTTAGAATACAAAAGTTTTAATTTAAAGGCGCCATCATTTAAATTCGAAATTTTCAGTTTAGAGTCCGAATTTTCAATCTAAAGGCGTCAACATTTAAAATAAAAAATTTCGATCTAACCTGCAACTACCAAACCCCAAATTTTCATTTGAGAAGGCGGCAACTACTAGTCCCCCAAAATCTTCTAATGAATATTGCATAGAATGAGAAATAATTGAACTCCATTATTGGACATACATAATCGTTAATTTTAAAAAATTTATTTATAATGGATAAGTACCACCCCCTAACTTGAAATAATAATAAAAAAATTTAAATACTCTTTTGTGTAAAGCAAAAGGCATATTGAATAAATTTTCCAAATTGGTGATCAGGAGTGGGCATGGAGGCAATATTTAAAAAATGGTCACAGACAAGTAAATTTTAATAGGTAAGCGCAGCTCGGGTGAGGCGTGGAGATGAACGTGCATTTGAACTCGGACAACAACTGGGATCAGCTAGGCAACAGGTGGATTTTGCAATTTGTCTTTCGAGAAAATGCACTCTTATTTTTTGATTATTATTGGCACATTGTTCTATCCGGTTTCCGGTATCTCTTTTTCATGTTGTCCCTTGTTTGGCTCCACAGTGATGTGTTGTCCTCATTTCCTTTGTTCTTCCCACCATGGGCAGATGACTCAGCTTTCCACCATAGACGGAACCTTTGAAATAATTATCGTAATATTTTTTGTAATGTGATATATGTGAAATAAAAAAGTGATTAAAAATATAAAAAAATAAATTAAAAATATTTTTATGATACAAGTAAAATATTATTTGAGATATTTTTACTATCCAAACACTCCATTCTTTCCCTAATTTTGTTGCCCCATCTTAATTTTTTTTTGTATATAATGATTAGGAGTAAGGTATGAAGGTTGAATCAATACATGGTACTATAACTCAATAACTTAATAGCATCACTTAATTGAAGTTTGGTCTTATTTAATCGAATCATAACTTATGATTTCCACCTAAAACTCACATAAATGTCACATGAATTTTATTCAGTTCCACCTCATTTCTACACTCAATACAACCATGGTCATAAAATTTTCCAGTTTGGTGTACTTAAAAATTAGGGATAATTGCAGAAACCTCCCCTGAGATTTCTGACATTTGCACTGACCTCCCCTGTAATTTAAAAAATTACACTGACCTCCCCTGAGGTTACTAATCCTTTGCAAATTCAGTCCAAACGATTAAAATATTATATTTAGGGAGTGAAATTAGAATTTTTTACCAAATTTGTCCTTTGTACTACATGTCCAATGAATGACAAAATATCACAAATTAATTAACAATTAATAAACTTTAAGAAGTATAGTTTATAAGCAAATACGCATTACCTATTTAAAGTACCGACTCTTTATAGGTATTTTACTTTCAAATATGGATTTCAAGTTCATGTGGTATTCATCCAATTCCGTCGGTGTATATACTGGTAGTGTAGAAAGATTAATCTTTTTTTTTTAACCGATGACCTGTAAATACTCATTAGTGTGAGTAAATTATAGTAAAATTATCATGTAAATTCACACACACACATTTATTATATCCTAAAATTGAAAACACTCTCTGCATTGGACAGTCCTTAGTAAATTGCATCATTTATTTACTAAGTAGCCTTCAATATGAAGTAGTTTCTTTCACTGATTTTCTTTTCTTTTATGGATAAATAGCTCATGCTTCCAGCCTTTTATAAAAGTGCAAGTGAGATGGTGACGAAATGGGAGAATGTTGTTTCACCAAAGGGGTTGGCTGAAGTGGATGTTTGGCCCAATCTTAAAGCTCTTACCAGCGATGCAATTTCTCGTACAGCATTTGGCAGCAACTATGAAGAAGGAAGAAGGATCTTTGAGCTCCAGAGAGAGCAAACTGAGGATGTGATGCAGGCAGCACGGTCGGTGTACATCAACATCCCAGGATTTAGGTAGATTGATCATGAATTCTTGAGTGCTGTAGAAAATTGTGACTTCTAGAAATCAATGGTTCTCCTAGAAATCAACATCCCAGGATGTACATTATTGCAAACATAGTTTGTTCTTGCTTTTGTTTTTTTGCTAAACTATGATCTTTTATTAGGTTCTTGCCAACCAAGAGGAACAGAAGAATGAAACAGATTGCCATAGAAGTTAATGGTTCAGTTAGGGAAATGATCAACACAAGAAGAAAGGCAATGAGAGCAGGAGAAGCCGGCTCTGATGACTTGTTGGGATTAATGCTTCAATCCAATTCTCAAGAAATCGAGAAGCATGGAAACAAGGACTTTGGTATGACTACCGAAGAAATTGTTGATGAGTGCAAGCTGTTCTATTTGGCTGGCCAGGAGACTACTTCAGCTGTACTCGTTTGGACAATGGTCTTACTCTGCAGGTACCCCGAATGGCAGGCACGTGCTAGAGAGGAGGTCTTGCAACAATTTGGAACTAAGGATCCGGACTTTGAGGGGCTAAATCACCTCAAAATTGTAAGCCAATCTTTTTCTTTGAAAAACATAAAATTAGCAATGATCATTTCATTGATTTGAAAAATTGCACTAATGGCAGGAGAGACGTACTAACGAAGTTCATCGAAGCTTCTCGTCTACATAGACAACCTAATTACTCTCACACTTTTTTTTTTTGGTCCCCTTGTCATAGGTCACCATGATCTTGCATGAGGTTTTAAGGTTGTATCCACCAGTGGCTATAATGAGTCGAAGAACTACTCAAGAAACTAAATTAGGAAATTTAACTCTCCCGGCTGGAGTGCAAATCACCTTGCCAATAATGCTGATGCATCATGAACCTGATATATGGGGCGAGGACGTGAAGCAATTCAAGCCTGAGAGGTTTGCTGAAGGAGTATCACATGCAACAAAGGGCCAGGCACTTGCATACTTTCCATTTGGCTGGGGACCTCGCACTTGCATTGGACAAAATTTTGCCATGTTGCAAGCAAAACTGGCAATGTCTATGATTCTGCAACGCTTCTCCTTTGAACTCTCACCATCTTATACTCATGCTCCTCGAACAGCCTCATTAGCACTAATTCAACCCCAGCATGGAGCTCACTTGATTTTGCAGAATACATAGCTTTTGTTTCACATGTATGACTTGGAGCAGCCCCTGTGGCAGCAGATTATCTTTTAACGAAATAAAGCACGCCTTCTATGCTTAACTTTGCTGCTTGTAAACTTAGTTTAAGTCTCGCCCAATATGATATGTCAATGGATCTGTTTGAATACAGCAGCACAGATTCACGTAATGTATTTCTCATGGCGAATTAAGAGAGAAATAAAATATTACATCTACTGGTTTTATTTTGCAGGAGATCTTTCCTTTTTCTTAGGTAATCGAGAAAACAAATGGCTTGTCGTGGCTTAAAAATCATTTAACAGCTGTTCTCAAACATTATTAATTAGTAGACTCTATAAATTTTATTAGCTAGTATTAACAGCTGTATTTTCCCGGGCTGGAGACCATTGCTTGTTTGGACGATGATCTCATTCAGCAAGAACGTGCTGGAGAAGAGATTTTGCGACGCAGTCAATTGCTGCTGGGACCAAAAATATCAAAATTTGATGGTCTCTATAACCTAAAAGATTTCAAGTCAATTATACACCAAAATCCGTGGCATATTGTAAGCGGTTTTAAACCCATGATGGATTTTTTAACGCACGTGTCTCACGTTGTCCTTCTTACGCTAGTCACGTTCAAAGCGTTCGTCACGTGGGAGGACAGGATGGGGCCCGAGGGCCAAGCGGTTTTTTTCCGACTGACAAAACTTGGTACAGAGCAAATGGTTTTGTCGGACGCGGGGTTGGAGCGGTTGTCAGAACAACCGCTCCGGAAGGTGTAACACCATTTGTACATGGTGTAACATCATCTGTACAAGGTGTAACAATTGAACAACAGCGAGTAAAATAGAATAACATTTTTGTAGGCCTCACACGATGTGAAAATCGAGTTACAAGACGTGATTTGAGTCGCACAAATTTTTAAAACTTCATCCTAGCCGTGAACTGCCTGGAACGGTTGTCTCTGACAACCGTCCAGGCCCCTCGTCCGGTTTTGTCATATCAATTCGGGCTGATTCCTGTCGCTTACCACATCAATTTTTTAATCATTAAAAAAACTTTTAAAAAAATACCAGTAAGACAACCGGCAACTTGCTACTTTATTTTATTTATCTGTCAAGTCACGTAAAGGCACGGAAATGGTGACCCAACTCCATTCCGCATCTTTTGTTTGTCGCTATGGTTAATCCAAAGGCTACAGCTGTTGATAAGTTTAATAATCTTAATCAGGCCCTAATGAATTGTGCAGTTGCATAGTTCTATTAATATGTGGACAATCTTACATGTATTAGTACTCAATGCACACCTAATGTATGAGCAATTAAAATAATACATAATATTTATGATCATATATTTTTTTAAAAAAATTATTATTGAAGTAAATTTTAATCTTTTAAATATTTTTCATAAAATAAGTTTATATTGACAATTATAATGTTTAGGGGTAACTATGTTTAAAATGTATATTTAAATAATTAAAAATAAAAATAGTCGTGGGTAATTATAAATAATTAAAGTAAAAGTAGGTTTTATAAGGACAAAAAAAATTCATAAAGTGGAGATAAATGTTCACGCTAATGTCAACCTCAAACCCCTTTCTCGAGTTTTATATAAAGTATAGATGTTAATTACAATCAACTGCCTTGGCCTATTTATCATTTGAATTTGTATTTATTCCTTCGTATTAGTAAATGCAAGTGTTATGCTAATAATATCTATAAGTCAAACATGAACCATACATGAAAACTAACAAGTCAGAATGAAATGTTTATTCATTTTTCAATATTTGGTATAATGAATATTTAGATATCAGAATGGAATATATTAAATACAAATTTGGCTTAATTACTTTGGATTAGTTTATAAGACATAATATGTCTTATAGCTTTTTGTTAAAATTTTGCATTTTTTAACAATATAAGTAGCAACGTAAAATATAAATTACATGAATTCAAACAATTATAATTTATTTTTAATCTAGTTTCAATTATGGTAAGATTCAAATTCTTGCACAATTACTCAAAAGTCAAAAAATTAGGTATTCTAAAACATTTGTTTTCTAGTATATAAAAAAATTATTTTAAATACAAGGAAAATTAGTAATATAAAAATTTACATTCAAACATTAATTGAGCTTATAAATAGGCTAATATATCATGATGCAGTATAAACATATATAAGGATAAATTTGACATCCTGCTAGTTAAGTATTTTAGGATAAATGTGGAAAGGACTTTCTCTAAATTTTTTTGAGGAATGAGATTTCAAAAAAATAAAAGTTAGAATGGATATACCATGTATAGAGGGCTTTCCCAGCTAAATGCATTATACCAAATGCTAGAATGGAATAGACAAGTTTGAAAGGCCCTCATGGCATTATACCAAAATCCGTAGCATATTGTTCTATTCTCATGGGTCAACATAATCTTATATGAGGTTTTAAGGTTATGTCCACCAATTACTGCAACAACTCGAAGAATTGCCGAAGAAACTAAATTAGGAAATTTAACTATCCCAGTTGGGGTGCTACTCGTGCTGCCAATAATGTTAATGCATTATGACCCGGATATATGGGGTGAGGATGTGAAGGAATTTAAGCCGAAGAGGTTTGTTGAAGAAGTATCACATGCAACCAAGGGCCGACTTGCGTTCTGGCCATTTGGCTGGTGAGGATGGTCATTCCGCCTAGGGGAAGTCGTAGTGTGCCCCAGTTCGGAACGATCACCTCACCCGGCGTAACCATCTCGGTTGAGCTGGCGTCCTGATCACCGAGGTGACTTTGTCGTCCCACTATCACCTCGGTACAGTTCTACGACCCACACTAACCGAGATGTGGACAGAGGGTCTGACCCCCAAACAGTGGTGGATGTGACCTCTGACACTGTCCACTGTTCTGCCACCCTGCCCTCTGTCCAGATTAGTCACGTCAAGGTGATATGCTGTCTCTATCTGTCCTTCAGGGGCCTGGACCCCACAGTCTGTACCTCCAAATTGTCCCCTATAAATAGCAGGACATCCTACTGAGAAACGGACAGATCCTTGGTAAAGAAAGTAGCCTACTCTCTCTCTCTAGAATTATTTTCACATTATTCTGAACTAACTTAGCCTTCAGAGGTGAACCGGGGGATTAGGCCCCGTATCTAACAATCTAAGCAAGTGATCTTTGATCAACTATTCTACCAATTCGGCATATATTCCTGGCATTCGGAGCAGCTTATCTGATCAAAAATCACCTCTTCAATTGCCGTTGTCTGGGGGAACTCGATATCATCTAAGAATGAAGCCTACGGGTTCTAGGAGCAAGAAGATTGTCACCATTGGGGTCGGGTCCAGCGTTTCGGTCTAAGAAGAGAACATGTCCGAGGGACAAGGGTCCCAAGGACCTCAACCAGCAAACGAAGAAGCCATGACAAAAATGGCAGAGAATCCAAATATCTTTGAGGAATTGGGGAGATATTTTAAGAGGTAGAACAAACAAAAAGTCGAGTCCTATAAGAGGAAGTCAGATGAATCTCCCGAACTCCCGTCAGACGAAGAATCCGATGGGAGGCGTTTGGAGAGGAGCATCTTGAAGTGAGCCTTGTCCAAGCCTGCTTCTAAAGTAGTCTCTCTCTCCAAGGCCTTCTCACGGGGATTATTTGGGCGACGACCTGAGGAAGAACCTCGACTCCCGGAGAGATCAGGTATGGATTATATTAGGGTCCCGCCTTTCACAGACGAGATCAATGAGGAAAGGCTCCCTCTGAATTTCAACCTCCCCACAATACCTCCTTATGATGGCCGAGATTATCCTGAAGACCACATTCATGCTTTCATCTCGGCTTTCCGACTATATTGCATTTCTAATCCAGTTATCTGTCGGGCTTTTCTGGTATTCCTCCAGAGCACTGCTCGAAAATGGTTCTGGGGATTGGAACTTAGGAGCATATTCACCCTAGGAAAACTAGTGGAGAGATTCCTCCATCGATTCATATCCTTTAGACCCACGACTAGCTGAATATCTAGCAGAATCCGGGAGAGTCACTTCGGTCTTGCGTACAAAGGTTTCACGAGGAGAGTGTGTAGATACCTGATCCTAATGAACAGATAACAATCACTGCCTTTACCCACGGGCTTGCTGTCGGGGTATTTAATATCGGGATACACAAGAAATATTCTCGCACGCTCCAGGAACTCTGGTTGAAGATCGAAAAAGACATACAGGCCGAGGACCTCCACCGTATGAAAAAAGAGGTCGAAGCGGCTCGTTCGGGACCTGATTCCCAAAAGAAGAAGGATACCAACCAAAATGAGGTTGGTACTGTTGGCGGCTTCTAAAGTTCTAATCGGGATCGTCGAAGTGTGTTTGCTAGGATAGCCAAGGGGAAGGCATCTGTCCCCGATTCTGAGTTGACTCCTTTAAACACCAGTCGATTCCGAGTATTCTCTGTGATGGAGCAGAACAACCTCGGACGTGCCCCTCCGAAGATGTACGGAAACAGGGAGAAGAGGAACTCCAGCCTCTACTGTCTGTACCACCAGGATATCAGGCACAAGACGGAAGATTGCAATGATCTCAAAAGAGAGATAGAGCACCTCATCAAACAAGGTCACTTGAAACAATTCATCCGTCGAGACAGAGGTCACCAACGGAGCGACTCTCGTCGTGAAAGTCGGGGTGACCAACGCGAGATGACCGGCGTGGGTCGAGGAGTAGCTGCCGACCCCCTGAGGATCCTAGGGAAGCGAGAAGGCCTTCCCGAGACGGGTCCTCGGGTCATGGACTAGGTTATGGGCCCAATATTGTTGGGATCATCAACACCATTGCCAGAAATTCGATGGGAGGAGACAGTCAAAACTCCCGGAAGAGGACTTACAGGCAGACTAACCCCGACTAGGCCGACCTAACTCTCGCTTATCCGAAGTGATATCTTACGGCCCCAATGACCCCGTCTCCCTGCTTCCAACAGCCATGAAACTCTGGTGATTGAAGTGTTTATCAACAACTATATAGTCAAGAAGGTGTATATCGACCCAAGGAGTTCGGTTGACGTCATGTATCTCCGAACTTTTGACGGCTTGAAGCTAATCAAGGAGCAGCTAACTCCCGTGAGGACCTCCTGGTAGGGTTCGGGGGACATGTAGTACACCCTGAAGGGATGGTCATGCTAATGGTGACTGTGGGATATCACCCTCGCTGTCGCACCATTCCCGTCAATTTCGTCGTGGTTAAAGCTAACTTTTCCTATAATCTATTCATGGGCCGACCTACGCTTAATGCTTTACGTGCAGTATACTCCACGTATAATTTAAGTTTCAAATTTTTAACCCCGGCAGGTATTGCCGAGATGAGTAGTAATGTCTGTGCAGCGCTTGAGTGTTACGCCACCTTGCAAGCAGCCTCTCCCTCAACCTCTAAACCGAGGTCTGAGAGAAGGTCCAATATATTTTCGATCGATTGCATCGATCCCTAACAAATCGGGAAGCCGAAGAGGCTAGAGAACGGAAATGAGGTGGAGGATATCCCCCTGGGCGTCTCGAAGCCTGATCAGACGGTCCGCGTCGGCATTCATTTGCCTGACTCACTTAGGAGATAGATGGTGGACCTCCTCAAGGAGTATCAAAACATTTTTACTTGGGCTGTCAATGAGGTTCAAGGTGTGTCACATCACCTCATGATGCACGAGTTGAATGTTGATCCTCAAACATGCCCTGTTAAATAAAAGAGAAGGCATTTCGATCCAGAGCGAAGTAAAGCAGTAGGAGAGGAGGTGGATAAACTCTTGTCTGCAAAGATGATCAGGGAGGTGAAGTACCCGACCTAGTTATTCAATCCAATCATGGTCAAAAAGGACACGGGGGCTTGAAGAATATGCGTCGATTTCACCGACCTGAACAAGGTTTGTTCTAAGGACTGCTACTCGTTGCCCAGAGTCGACACCTTAGTAGACTCAACAATGGGTTATGAAGTCCTCTGTTTCCTTGATGATTTCAAAGGGTATCATCAAATCGGGATGAGCAAGGAGAACCAGGAGAAGACGGCTTTCTACACAGATCAAGGTGTGTACTGCTATACTACCATGCTCTTTGGGTTAAAGAACGCTAGGGCCACATATCAACATTTGGTCAATCGAGTTTTTAAATCTCAAATAGGCCGAAATGTCGAAACATACGTGGATGACATCCTCCTCAAAAGTAAGAAAATCTCGACTTTCCTATCCGACCTAAAGGAGGTCTTCGGGGTCTTTCGTGATACTCGGATGATGTTGAATCCCAAAAAATGTATTTTTGGGGTCATTTCGAGAAAATTCTTGGGATATCTTATGTCGCGGCAAGGTATAGAGGCAAATCCTGATAAGATGAAGGCGATTCAGAAAATGTTTTCACCTCGGTGAGCCCGAGACGTGCAAAGGCTGACAGGGCGATTAGCCGTTCTGAACCGATTTTTGTCGCAGTCCACTGCTAAGGCATTGTCCTTTTTCAAGGTGTTGAAAAAGGCTGACAAATTTTTCTGGACAGAATAGTGCCAACAGACCTTCGAACAAATGAAGGAATATCTCCACCATCTTCCAACACTCACCCTACCTCGACTTAGGGACATGCTATACTTGTACCTGTCCGTTGCAGATGAGGCAGTAAGTGCTGTGCTAATACGGGAGAAAAGCGCCCAGATATCAGTTTATTATGTCTGCCAGGTCCTTCAAGGACCCGAAACTAGATACACCCAAGTAGAAAAACTCGTGTTAGCTTTGATTCACGCAACTCGTAGGTTGAATCTCTACTTTTTAGCTCACCACATCTACTTGAGAACAGATCAACCCCTCAGGCAGGTGTTATCGCGTCTTGAAGTTTCTGGTCGTTGTACTAAATGGGCCATTAAATTGGGAGAGTATGATTTGTCCTATGAGTTCCGGACGGCCATCAAAACTCAGGCTCTTGCGGATTTCCTAGCTGAGCTCACTTTCAACGAGGTGAAAGAGCCTACATCAGATTCAACCGAGCCTCAGCGGTAAATCCTGCATGTGGACCGCTCGTCCAATAGTGAGGGTAGTGAAGCAGGTTTGCTCTTCGAAAATTCATAAGGGGAGCGGTGTTTGTATGCTCTACGGTTTGATTTTACAGCATCTAATAACGAAACCGAATACGAAGTAGTCATCGTTGGCCTACAACTAGCTCGTAGGCTAAGAGCTCGGCACATCTTGGTCAACAGCGACTCCCAACTCGTCGTGTGTCAGATACTTGGTTAATATGAGGTCAGGGAGGAGGTTATGCGCATTACCTTTCCAAAATTCACCAATTAATTGCACACTTTGAGTCCATCGAAATTCAAAGGATATCTCGATCGTGGAATAAGCGGGCTGATGCTCTATCCCAGCTTGCTTCCACTTCTTTCTCTGACCTGAATAAAACGGTCCTCGTTGAGGTCTTAGTCGAGCCGGGCTATTTAGAAGAAATCGTGTGCTCCGTTTATCCAGGGATACTTGGATGGGCCCGCTGATTCGGTGCCTTGGTCAAGGGGAGCTTCCGGCGGATCGATTCGAAGCAAGAAAACTTTAGCATAAATCAGTCTGATACGCTCTTCGGCAAAATCTCTTATACAAAAGGTTTACGTCAACCCACTGCTGCGGTGTATCACGCCAGAGGAAGGGGAAAAAATTCTCCAAGACATACATGAGGGATTTTGTGATGCCCATATTGGCTATCGGATGCTGGTCAAGAAGGCCTTATTGCTTGGGTATTTTTGGTCTACTATTCTGCGAGATGTCCAGTTCTTGGTCTTTAACTGCCCTTCCTACCAACATCATGCCCCTGAATATCACCAGCCAACCAACCTCATGATCTCTATCACCTCGCCATGGCCATTCGAACAATGGGACACTGATATAATTGGTCTATTCCGTATAGCCCCCGGCAACTATGCTTATCTGGTGGTTGCGGTGGATTATTTCACCAAATGGATCAAAGCCGAGCCTCTGAGGAGTATAACCGGTTTGGCCGTCTAAAAATTCTTCTAGAAGCAGGTGATCTGCCGCTTCGGGTTATCCAGAGTGATCATCTCGGATAACGGGAAGTAATTCGCAGATAACTTCTTCAAGGGCTGGTGTGAAAGCCTTGACATTCATCAACATTTTACTTTGGTGGGACACCCTAAAGCCAATGGGCAGGCTGAGAATTTCAACCGAACACTGCTCTATGGCTTAAAAACCAGGTTGCACCAAGCCGGGTTATCTCGGGTAGAAGAACTTCCCATTATCTTATGGCCCTACCGAACCACCCCGAGGCCTGCTACGCAGGAAACTCCGTTTTCTCTAACTTATGGATCTGAAGCGGTGGTCCCCATCGAATTCATCACTCTCAGTCCCCGTATGGCGGCCTTTGCTGCTGAGATTAATGAAGAAGAGAGGAAAGTGGACCTCGATCTTGTCGAGAAAAAAAGGGACACTGCAGCCGCCAAAGTGGCATTATACAAGAAAATTCTAACTAGCTACTATAACGCACGAGTCAAAAATCTGCAGTTCAATCCAGGAGATTTGATTTTATGGAAGAACTCTGTCAGTCGAACTGAAACTCAGGGAAAATTAGCTCCCAGGTAGAAGGGGCTGTACTGAGTCGTTGAGTCTAGCCATAATGGCTATTGTAAATTGACCTACCGGAATGGCTCTTTATGCCCCGGACTTGACATTCAGAAAATCTCAAATTGTATCATTCTTGAAAAGTATTTTTTTATTCAAGAACTACCCGTTATTTCTTGCAATATTTATTTTTTTCCTTAGCATCTGTGTTGTTAAGCAAAAAACAAGGGGACAAGTGGGTTAGGATGCATAAAAAGAAAGTGATCAATGATTAAAGAAAAAAGAGGTAATTGGCATTAAAGGGGTTACAAAAAAAAAGGCCGAGGCCAGCTTCTCAGCAGTCCCTGCTAAGCATCTACGGCCTTGGCGGCTAGTTACAAAGCATAGGGATGTTTCTAATCAGTCCCTGCCTTGCTGCTTTCGCCATCCCCCACTTCTTCTGTGCCGATGCCATCACCTTCTCCTCCCGTCTCGCTCTCCCCGAGCTCATTGCCTTCTGCATCAAACTCAGAGAGCCACTGATTAAATTTCTTCCGGACCTTAGCCAAGTCTCTACCGGTCTGGATACCTTCTGCCATGCGGTCGCACAACTCATTGGCATCTTCGTTGAAGTTGGACTTGTCTTTGAGGGACTCCAATTGTTCAGTAGAAAGGAAAGGTGCCGCATCGTTAATCGCCGAGATGTATCCAAACATGAAATTCGGCAGCGTTAGCTCTCCGAGATCACGAGTGAAAGTCTCGGATTTGCGAAAGGCCTCTACAGCCGAGGTTCCAGCCTTCTCTATGCCCTCCTAAGCTGACTGCTCCTATTGAATGCGTCTGTCTTTTTCTTCTTCAAGAGCGATTTTTAGAGAGTTGTTTGTGGTTTCGGCATGTTCTTGACTAGCCACTGCCTTATCACGCTTCTGCTCGGTGGCCTTCAGCTTCTCTTCCAGTTCGGCGACCTTCTTTTGAAGCTCGAAGGACGGCTGGTAATACTCGAGCAGATTAGTGTAGCGTTGGGTCATCTCGGACAAAAAGGCTGTAGTAGAAGCTAGAGGCGTCAACGAATCGAATCGAACTCGAATAGTAAGTTGATCGAGTTCGAGTTTGACAAAGTGTCTAAAACTCGAGATCGAGATCGACGAATATCAATTTTACTTGCTCGAATTCGATTCTTAAGAAAATCGTGAGGTTCGGGCTCGTACTCGAAATTGCTCGAATATGTGTTCGAGCTCAAATTCGAACTCGGGCTCGATTTCGAACTCGAGCTCCTCGAGTTCGAATTCGAGCTCGATTAAATACTGTGCTCGTTTATACAAGTCTAAACTAAACCAAACAATCTGCTATTCTTAGCAAGTAAAATTTGCTCTTTCATTTAGTCTTTTCATCTGTCATTTGCATTCGATAATTCAAGCATTCCCACAGAAATTTACAAAATCAAAAATTTCAAAATCCAAACTCATCCATATGATAAACTGGCTTGAGACAAACCAATTTTAAATACCAATTTAAAGTCCAAAGCATCAATCAAATTGTCAACACTTTTCAGCCATTATGCCAACCAATATCCAAATTCATCCGTATTTTAACATCAAATCTAACATCCAAATTCAGAGATAAGTCACACAACCAACATCCACCAAGTCACACAAACAGGAAAAACAAAGCCAAAGTGTCAACATTCAAATTAAAAATGTGAAACAAATTTTGCAATTAAAGACAGTAGCATGTTATCCATTCCACAATAATCTTTTCCAGCTTTTGCTTACGGATTCCAAATTTTCAACTCCAGGCCCTACATAAAATAAATAATTTAGGTAATTAAATAGTAGCAGTAAAATCTAAAATAAGATATTTGAAGAAGAATCGAAATATTAAATACAAACAATATACCTTTCCAATTATCACATTCATTTTATGGGAAGTAGAATCTCTTTTGCTGCCTTCACTTTCTGCAAAATAATAATAATAATAATAATAAGTTAGAACATAACCATTTCACCACCATCTTATCATTGTACATCCCTATCAATATATATTTGATCTTTCAAAAAATTAAGTACGCAATTATATATAGACCTCTAGATATACGCCAGTTGCAAGATATACAAGTTACTGAATTGTTGGATGCCTCATTCTGTTGGAGACAAAGCTTCGGCGCAAGTTTTTTGAAGGGAACATATTTTAGATTTAAATACTTGGACCCTTACAGCATGTTACAAGTGTTTTAATACACATAATGATTATTAAAAAAAAAGTCTTCTACTCACATAAATTGATAAATTACTTGTTAAATCTTCTTGAATCCTTCCAAGAAATTTATTCATGTTTCAAACGCTATAATAAATCATTTTAGAAATTAATTCCAAATAAATATATCCATCCTTCAATCATTATAATTTAGATCATTGAAAACACCAAATTATGAATTCAGCCATTGCAAATTCTTCCCACAACTTAATTAACATGATATTCAAATTATCTATATGGTTGTAGCCACTGATCACCATCGATGAAACAAATATTCAGAAAAGGTGTAGCTTGTGTATCATTGAGCTTTTGGGCATAAGGCACCCTTGGTCTTACAACCAACTGCGTTTCGGTATTCTTAGCCCCAATAGACATCAAAGAAATATAGAAGGGAAGAGAAAAACTCAAGATCCAAGCTTCAAGAAATACCTATTGCACGCCTGCACTTGTTTCAAGATCCAAGCTTCCGCTCGCCGCACGGCTGCACAATCCAAATGGGTTTGATTTGACAACAAATGGGTGGAGTTGGCAACAGCGAAATGAAACGGCTGGACTGCTAGAGTTAGCAACCCAAATAGGTTTGATTTGAAATTGGAATTAGGGATTGAGGTGAGGAATGGGGATTAAGGAATAGGGACTGAGCCACTGAGGTGAGGAAGCTCTCGATTCGTTGAAAGAAAGAAGACGGCGGACAAGAATTGAAGCTGCTTGACCTAATTAGAGTCTAATATGCGAATTTTTTTTTGAATTATTTGGAAAGACAAGAATACCCCTAATATATTTTGAATTTTAATAGGTAAAACATGTAATTAAGCTTACAACTATATATATTTAAGTAATTTTATAAATATAAAATTATATATATTTAAATATACCTTAAGCTCGAAAAGCTCGCGAGCTTGTCGAACATAACATTTTTAAACTCGAATTCGATTCGTTGGAATATTCGAATTGTTCGAGATCGACTCGAACTCGATTTGACCGAGCTCTAGCCGATCATTTGAACGAACTGCTCGAGAACTATTTGCGAGCAGCTCAATTCGTTGACACCTCTAGTAGAAGCTCACGCCACCGAGGCACTCTGCATCAGTTCAGAAGAACTGAGCTTTCTGGCATAAATGTGGTCCCTCGGAAGAACAGAGTGCACCATGAGCTCATGACCGACCTTGAGATTTTTGCAGCGGTCGTTTACGTTCAGATCCCACTCTGGGCACCATTGTGCGTTGGAGTGCCTTTTGTCTTCCCCGACTTCCTGAGGTGGCACATGGTGAAAGTTCCACAGGGAAGATCTGGAGATGGGGACTTCAGGAATCGGAGTCACACCTTGGCCCGGAGATGGCGAGGCTGTCGTCACACCTCGGATCGCCACTCTTATCGGAATGGCCGAGGTCCATGAAGCCTCGCCTGGAATTATCACCGGAGTAGGGCACCTTGCCGTACTGGTTTTCTTCTTCGGCTGAGCCGATGTTCCAGTAGTTGTTTTCCGTTTTGCTGGCCTTTTGTTCACTACAGCTGCTCCCGAAGTAATCAGGTCGGATACCCTTGTCACTGCATGAAAGAAAGGTGAGGTTACTTAGAATCAAACAAAGGTAAAGACAAAATAATGAGTAGAAAGATACAAGGTTTCTTAAGCCTAGTAGAGAAGAAAGGAGTGTGATCCGAGTTGATTAAAACTCGACTGATTCCTCCGTTCACGAGAACTACCTCGGGGAAGGCCCAACTGTTAATTTTGAGACTCGACCCCATCAGTTTTTGGAAATTTCTTCTTCCAAGTCCCCAGGAGAGGTGTCTTTTGCCCGAGTTGGGGCCTCCACCAGAACCCCCTTGGGAATTCTTCAATCGGGACAAACACGAAATTGTGCTTCCACTCCTTTATAGAAGTGGGAGCATCGACTACCAACTTCGGGACTCTGTTCCCGAAATAGAACCACTCCTTCTCACTTCCGCTGTTCTTGATGGTGTAGCAGCGGTGGAAGAGCTTTACTGTGGGGACTATCTCCTGATGCCGGCACTGCATCTCAAAACCGACTAGGATTCGGACTGCGTTAGGGACGAACTGGGTAATCCTCACCTCCCAATATTTGAGGTAGTACTAGAAGAACCTAGTGGTTGGCATCCTGAATCCTGCCTCTAGCTGATCTGCATATACGGTGACCTCCCCTTCGGAGGGCGTTTTGCTGTTTGATTCGGTCCGGGTGGACGAATGCTATAGTCACCTCGAAAGGGATATTTGAAGACCAGTGCTGCTGTCAGAGCTTCACCTATGATGCTGTTGAACATGGGAACTTGGCCGTAGTCAATAGCTGACAGATTTGGAGGGGTGGCTGGTTCCAGCATGCCCTCGTCTATCGGCACCTCAGTCCCGAGTTCATCATTATAAAGCACCTCGAATTCTTCTGGACTTTGTGCTTGTGGTGTATTGGCCTTATAAGATGCCCCGACTGTGTCCCTCCCAAGGTTGGATGAGGTCCCTTCCCCGGGATTGGATGAAGTCCCTCCCTCCTAGGTTGGATCGGGCCTCTCTACCCCGACGAAGTCTGGCCTGACCGTTTCTTTATGGGTACGGGCTATTCATGCTATTGGCAAAGAAAAAGAGACGAGCTTACTCTTCCTAAGGAGGTTTGTGTTTTCTGCTGTAGTGTCACCTTGGGAAGTTGTTTAGATGGGCAAATGGTAAGAAGTAAAAAGCGAGGAAGGGTGAAAAATGAAGGAGGGACCCCTATTTATAAAAGGGGGGAGGAAAACCAAAGGACGGCGTGTCGAACCTTTAAAGAAAGACGTGCCTCTCA